CTGCATACTAATGAGCCTTTCATTCAGGTGTGTCACTGAGCCACAAGAATGCAATGACAATATATATATATATATATATATATATATATATATATATATAGGCCTATATAATACAAAATTGGTTCACAGTTCCAATTATTTCTTTATTTTTCAAATTGTGCTTGCAAATTGTATAATATCAAATGTAAACATTTCTAGTAATTGTGCAGTTAATTCTCATACTGTATTTACAGAAAGTTTGGGAATATATCCCAAATGTGTCACTAATAAAACACAATACAAATAATTTAAAGAGGAGGCTTATATTGAGCTTTTAAGATTTACCTAAGATTTATTTATATGTACATATATTTTTGCTATTTTAATAAAAAGGTTACAATTACAACAACAATTAAAATTAACTATATTTCAAATGTAATCTTTCTTTGTATAAACTAAAGTATACATTTTATCATACATATTTCACAGTTGCGGATTAATTAGTTTGAATATAGCCTACAATCGAACAAACACTATAATAACATCTTAGCAAACAAGCTTATTTGATGTGGCAGTATTTTACAGTAAAAACGACATCTTGTCTTTCATATGTAACATATCGTTTTTATGATTAGGGCATAAATGTTAATTTGCAGTTTAATACGTTGCTTATACAAAAATATTTTATTTCAACATATTTCAGTCGATTTTTAATCATCTCAGTATTGGAATATAGTTAGGTAAAAGCTGTTCATTCATTCACACACAAAAATGTGATTCATATTCAAACAGTCTTTTTGTTTACAGACACTATTTCATATCGCGATTAGAACAAAGCACTTGAAAATAAAGAATGTAGCCTACCTATTCCTCAGCTGGATCCGTTGCTCCTCAAAATGAAACTACCTGCACTTCTGAGGTAATTTTTTGCAGGATTATTATTAAGATTATTCCTAGTTTTTCCTAGTATTATTAAGATTATTAAGTATTATTCCTCACAGCGTCGTAAATATGAGTCTCTTTCGGTTGGTTATCCAGCTGATGTGTGGGCGTGGATCGCCTCAGAGCATTTGTGTTTGAATAGAGCGTGCGCTCCGTGGGCGTGGTCAAATTAACTTTAATGACCTGAGACGAGAACGACTATCATCTCTCTCTTTTCGTACAGATTACATAAAATGAGAAAATGTGTTTTTTATATAAATTACTTCATTTAAAAGAAGAGAATTTCAGCTTCATAAAGTATTTACTTAGTTACAGTTCAGTTTTCGGATGCGTTTCAGAATGGACTTCACTGACAGAGAGAAGGCAGAACGCGCATCATGTTTATTTTTCTTTATTTGACAAAAAGCAGAGCACTTTGTTTTTATTGTGAGTATACACAAAAAAAATAGACACTTAACAGGATCGAATGATGTATAACCCCAGAGGGTTAACTGGGAAAAAAAACACGCAAAATTGTGTCACAATTCTGGTCTTGGTTAGTATAATCGTAAACACAATCGGTTATGTCTTAAATAAGCATAAAACGTGACACTGGACAGACAGTATAATGAAAACAGTCCGTGCACTTATATGTGTCTGTCATTAGTGTTGCCGTCAAAACAACAAAAGATAAGCTATTAATTCTGATTCCTTACAATTAAAGCTATGTATTTAATTTAGTCAGGACTAAAAGACTATCAGTGTTATTTTACATTTGATTACTTTATTCAGTTTCTGTAGTATTTCTGAATACTAGTGTTAGACCTACCCAAAAACTTTTCTTTTTATTTCTCTTTATTTGTATCTTTATTATTTTGTATAAATTGTTGCTACTTTTTAAAATTGAATTCAAAGATTGAAATCAAGCTTCCTTTTGTTGTGTGAACTCTTAACAACAAAATTACCCCATTGTATAAACTCAGTGAGTGAGCAAACATTTAGGTGAGATAAATGTAAAAAAAAAAAAAAAAATTCCCTATATTGTCATAAATATTATCGCAAATATTCTTGAAATATCGTGTTATAATTTTGAGGCTATATCACCCACCCCTACTGCAGAAGTCATTAAAGCTGCAGTCCGCAGTTTTTATTTTACTCTTTGTAGCCATCTCTGTTCGAAATCTGCAATTGCAGTTATTCGCGGAATTATCAACTTTACGTGAGTTGCACCTCGACACGGCACAGCGCAGATGAATCCAATGTTGTGCGGCTGTCAGTCGCCGCGCCGTTGTAGATACTGGCATTCAGAATCACAGATTATTCTTTTTGGAAGTATGACCAACATAATAATTTTTACCGGAAAATGTCATCTGAACAAGTAACAAACATCCACTTTTGTTCTGGTTCTGACATTGCAGTAAATCGCGCTGATTAAATCTAACAATCGCTTATCATATCACGTAAAACCGTGCAAATTATACTTTGTTCTCAAATTGTTAATGTTAACAACATCAGCATTGTGTGACTACATGTAATGTCCTTCCGATATGTATCCTTGTTTTCGCATGGGTCCGGTTGCAGTCTCTTTTTTTCTGTAGCCACTCCGAAGTCCGAACGAAGTCTTTTGCATTTTACAGCGGGTGAATCTCCAGTTGTCACTGGTGATTGTCGTTTGAACCTTTCTGGATCTGCCATCAAATTGATAAGTTTAATTATATCAAGTGCTGTGAGAAAAGGCTATAAATCTCCACCTCCAACATCCTCACTCGCATTATAGCCTACTAGCCGAGACTCCTTCTTTATGTGTACAGATGTGACGTAATGCGGAAATCCACCAGTACCACTGGAATTAAACATTATTACAAGCTTACCATTTTGAATCGAGCTAAGGCAAGCAGATAGTTTTGAACACTGGCTGGTTATGTATTTTCTCAAATTTATTTTGGATAATTTTTAACCCAAAAAAGCTACGGACTGCAGCTTTAAAAGTTGCATTTTCAGTTGAATTTGGGGAAACCACTTGAAACATTTGTTGTGTTGAGATATTTAAATTACTTTTGTATGATTTGTTCATTCCAAACAGCTGAAAGTCTGTAAATTTTGCCAATAAACCTGATTTGCAATGGGGGTTGAATAAATTTGATTACAAAGACACTGTAACAAAGACACTTTATATTTCAACATATTTCAGTCGATTTCACTCATCTCTGTCTGTATAGCAATTTGGGAAAAGCCAAACTAGTCAATATGTACATGTTTATGTAAAAAAAAAAAAAAAAAAAAAAAAAAAAACGCCGCGCTCTTCTTCTGAGGTGAATTCTTTCAGGATTATTCCTCACCGCATCCCAAAATGATGTAAAGTAAATAAATCTGATGAAAGTTGTATGCGTTTTATCGAGTAGATGTGGGCATTGACTCTGTTTGCATTGATCTCCTCAGATCATTACTGCATGAATAGTGCGCGCTGTCAGTAGGCATGTACAAATTAGCGGATAATGAGACTACAAAATGAGACATAACGACTGACATCTCTCTCTCTCTTTCCATTCAGATTACATAAACCGAGAATATTTGTTTTCGTTTTGAATTGGATATTTTAAATGTAGACTATTAAATGTGTTTAGATATTAGGGGTGTAAATCGGACAGTTCATCACGATACGATACGATATCGATTCTCGCAGCCAGCGATACGATTATTGCCGATACCTCAAAAAATTCCGCGATACGATTACGATTCGATTCGATTCAGGGTTATCAATCGATTTATCGATATTTAGATATTATGTGCCAAGTTTACACAACCAGTTACGTTTATTAACTCACAAATGCATCTAAAAATATATGAAAGTTTAATTAAACTCTTTGAAAATTGCACACCCTCTCCCAATTGGGACATTTACAAGTTGTTTGTTACAAGTTACAAGTAAAAACAGAGTTATCTGTTTTTGCAAATGAACTAACAGAAGAGGTTGTTTTGATTAAGTAATAATAACAAAAAAAAAAATACAGGTAAATTATTAAATTAAAGTGCATTGAAAGTATTTTTTTTTATATATAGGCTATAGCTATATATTTTTTGTGTGTGGCAAAAGCAGATAACTCCACATTTCATGTTTCAGAGTTAAACAAAGCCTAGTAATTGCTACGATACTTAATAAAACACTTAATCTTTGTAATGTTAATCTCCTCAGCTGACATCTAGACGCCTGTCAAACTTTGTTGTTGTGAATAACGTACACGCGATACAGAGAGCTTTTCCCTCACCACTAACCTGCCGTTTTAGCAAGATTCCGTGAAAAAGTTTCAGATCTTATATCCTTTTATGCCCCGAAGAAGATATCACAGGTTCATCAAGTTCGTTGAAATCCATCCTCGATCACTTTTAATCAGCTTTGACGAAACTCCTCTCAGCTAGCGCGTCTTTTCAAAGTGACTAGCAGGCTTGTCACCTGACCTGAATACTGCGCACTGTTTCACAAACAAGGGTGCTTGTCGTTTCTGCTGTAAAAGATGAACTCGCCATGCCTTGACAGTGGAAAATACCGGCTTTTGTGACAAAGGGTTCAGTCAATCTTGTCAGGCGTCTATTTCAGCTGAGAAAAATTACGTGAGGATGTGGAGAGTGTCAAAATAAAGGTACCGTATAATCGATATTTTATGTGTGGCATCGATGCATCGTATCGTTAGACTTTTGATCGATGTATCGATCCATATCGATGTATTGTTACACCCCTATTAGATATATTGATCATGTCTGTGTGACAAGTATTCGCTGAGTTTTGTTTAATTTGTGATGTCCTCCAGAAAAAAGTTCACGGAGACAGAGATGTCAGAAAGTAAACCCTGTTTGTTTTCTTTATTTTACAAAAGCACAATGTTTTGTAAGTAGACCCTTTACAGTTTCGAATGATATATTGCTTTTATACAGTATGTATGACCATAAGTCGATTTCACTGCTATGTGAAAACAATCCACCAAACCGCGCCGGTGCAGTCGTCAGCCCCAGAGATTTAAATATGGTCTTCGGTGCCCATAATTGCAATGCATATTTTTTTTTTAAACCTTAAAATTGCATATGTTTCTCTACTACTTATACAGGGACTCCTGTTCACAGTGGCTCCTCCTCTCCTTTACCATTGACACCGAGCAAGGATTACACTGGAGGGCTTTTCTCAGGGCTGGAAACCCAGAGGAACTACGAACTAAATGAAGTGAGTCCTAAACCCAGGTGCAAGAACCCTCAAGTCTTGCTTTACTGTCAATAGTAAAAAGACCCTATTAGACTTAAAATCTGATTTAAAATCTGAATCTGACAAACACATACTGCACTTGTTTATTTAAATATATATATATATATATATATATATATATATATATATATATATGGCAAATGGAATGAATGTGTTTATAACAAAATTATAGGAAAATAACAATTGTATTAATAGATTTGTTTTTTACGTGTTTAACCTGGGAAAAGTTTAAAATTTCCATGAAATACTAATCTGACAGATATATTTGAAGTTATAAGTTAAATAATAAGTTATTATTGCAATGTAAGTTTAATTGTATATTAGAGATGATATTAGAGATTGATTTTTAATACCCAATACAGATACTGAATACTTGTTTATATGTCCTTGTTTTGTATAAGTTGTATATGTATAGTTTTGAAACTAAGCATTTAAGTATAATTTTACTGATCTCATTTATTTTTACATAAAGCTATCATTAGTTAATTTTACTTTGAGACCATTTAAATATCAGACACTGCACCAATTGCATATTTTTGCTCAGATTCTGCCTCTGAATAAAACTGAGGTGTTTTTTTTTCCCTTGAGTATGAGCTCCATTTTCTGCTATATCCTACTATATGAGCCATAAAAACCTGAGGTATCAAATGACAAATAATAGATAGATTGATAGATTACTGAAATAATAAATTAATTTCCACAGAGCTAGTACATAGATCACTATTAATAATGAAAATGTAGTAAATGATAATACAATTTTGAGACTTTTAATTAGTGGATGGTTACATACAGTGGCCATTCTGTTGGAAATGTATGTTCGAAGAACATCCCTGAGCATCCCTAGTGCAGGGTATTGAAGAGCATAGGCGAGAAAGAGAGAATTAAACTGTTATTTCTAACTTGCACTCATCCAATGCTCTTTTATTCCTTTAAAGGTGCACTATGCACAAATTTTCAGTTACTGTTTGTAAACACAACATTCAAACGTGACCCCTCCTTGTGGGTGGAACACCGCCAGAAGAACATGCGCTCTCCCTGATATTAGTTACACATGCAGCTCGACCGACTCAAGAGAATGCCAGTGGGAAGATGAGTGATGAGCTATGTTGAAAATATTTTTTCAAGTACTGTTTATCATGCATAAATAGCATTTTTTTTTTCTGTAACAGACAGCAGTCAACAAAGCAATTGCAACATTAGCTAATGGTTTTTGTGTCGAAACAGGATAACTTAGAGGGGCTTCCCAAGCTTTAGACACAGAAGAAAAATTCCCACCCTTACAAGCGCTGCATTCCGTTTTTGGCTGGAGCGACACACTCACTGGCCAAAGGTTGCAGCCCAGAAACATCCCGAGCACAGGAATGCAGGGCTATGGAGGGCCAAACCTGCAGAAAAAAATATATATATAGAAAAATACATGTAATAATAGGAAAATAAATGAATTAAATGACTTGATAAAACAAATACAATTCATCTTTAATAAAAACTTAATCCTGAATTTGTTTTTGTATTATTGTTTATTTATGGTGGTGCAGTTCCTGTCTTAAAGGGGTATTAAAAGACTTGTCAAAAATCACTTGGCATTGGATGTGTTTTTGGTGATCTGATGATCTGAATTGGCCAACCAAGATTAATGTTTTTTCTCACCTGGTATTAAACACCAACTTAGGCTTTAAAGTAGCACAAGTCATTTTTTGATTATCATGAACATTTAATAAATTGAATTGATAGTTTAAATAATACACAAGTAAAAAAAAATGGCACAAATATTTGAAAATACATATAAATTTAAATGTCACTGTCTTAAAGTGCAAATATTAAGCAAGCTCTGGAAAGATAGCAAAGCGGAGTGTCAAAAGCCTTTGTCAAAACCTTTTTTTTTCTTGATTTCACTACAAACAGACTGTGAATGTGGGTGCCCATAATCTTTCTGGATTTGGGGTTTTTAAACAGTAGGTGACAGAAAAGTTAATAAAGTGTGTGGTAAATGGCTTGTGGTTGGCAAGTATTGCATCACAACTATGTATCATTTTATTATACTGATTAAAATGTTGCAATGGTAATCATGCTCCCACAAAAGGAACCACAGGTTCAGACATTTGATGCATGCATTTAACAGAGGGGAGTCTGAATCCCCACTAAAATCACCAAAACAGCAGCACTGCAAACTCCCAAGATAGTTGACATCTGTTGAGTAGAATATTTGATTTTGCTGTGGTGTCAAAATTGGCATTGAAAATTTCTCTGCTATTGATTTTAAGGTTGTGATCAGCCTAGCTGCACTGATTCTCTGTACAGTTTTAAACATTATCTTTGTGTATATTCGCACTGTTAGAGATGTAGGACCTGTTCTTATCATGATCTGGTGCAATACTGCTTGTATGCCTGTAATCTCATTTACAGAATTAGCTCATTAAAGGATTAGTTCACCTCAAAATGAAAATTTCCTGATAATTTACTCACCCCAATGCCATCCAAGATGTTCATGTCTTTCTTTCTTCAGTGGAAAAGAAATTAAGTCTTTTGAGGAAAACATTTCAGGATTTTTCTCCACACAATGGACTTCAACGGTAACCAAATTGTTGAAGTCCAAATCAATGCAGTTTCAAAGGGCTTTGAAGTGTTTCAAAGGGCACTGCACGATCCCAGCTGAGGAATAGGGTCTTATCTAGCTAAATGGTCGGTCATTTTCACAAAAAAAAAAAAAATGTAAATACTTTTTAACCACAATTGTTCGTCTTGTGCTGGTCTGCGACGCACCAGGCATTACGTAATCACGTTGGAAAGGTCACGCTGGACGTAGGCGGAAGTACCGCCCCATTGTTTACAAGCGTGGAGAAGGAGGATTGTTCAATTTTATTGTATGTTGAATGACATATTTATGTTTTTGTGTCAGTTTATTGTTTAAAATGGTCCTTTCGTGTGCGTATCCTGGATGTTTAAAACAACGGGGCGGTACTTCCGCCTACGTCCTGCGTGACCTTTCCAACATAATGCCTGGCGCGTCGCAGACCAGCACAAGACGAACAATTATGGTTAAAAAGTATATACATTTTTATTTTTTTAGAAAATGACCGATCGTTTCGCTAGATAAGACCCTATTCCTCAGCTGGGATCGTGCAGAGCTCTTTGAAGCTCTCTTTCCCCTACGAGAGTTTTGTATGTTGCTTTCTTGTCAATAAAAAAAAGAGCCCTTTGAAGCACTTCAAAGCCCTTTCAAACTGCATTGATTTGGACTTCAACAATTTGGTTACCATTGAAGTCCATTGTGTGGAGAAAAATCCTGAAATGTTTTCCTCAAAAGACAGAATTTATTTTCCACTGAAGAAAGAAAGACATGAACATCTTGGATGGCATTGGGGTGAGTAAATTGTCAGGAAATTTTTAATTTTGAGGTGAAGTAATCCTTTAAATTGGCTCACCTCTATGTTGTCTTTCGTTTTCTTTAGGTTCTGAGCTGGAGACTGACACCGGATAACTACCCCCAGAGCGACCAGCTTCCACCTCCCTCTTACCTCTATGGCTCTCAGCACCTGCTTCGGCTATTTGGTGAATATCAGCTTCTTATGTTCAAAAGTGTTAAATTATTTATTTATTTATTTAATTTATTTATTTATGCCTTTTTGTTTTAGTGAAACTTCCAGAAATCCTGAGGAAGATGCATATACCAGAAAAGAACCTGAGGGCACTAGTGAAACACTTTGAGCTTTTCCTCAGGTGCAGAATTTTTTTTAAGAATTGCATGCACATGATTAACTTGAATGCACATAAATACTTTATCTAAGTGAAATGTGTGAGAGGTAGTTGTAAATCATTTTTTTGTAGTTTCAAGGTGTTCTTGCTAATCACTTAATAGAGAACACACAGGCGAGATGGATAAAACAAATATTGATTATAGTTCTAATACAAGTTATATTTCAACTTGTGTCCTATCTACTAAAATTTATAAGAAGACATCTAAGACATAGCCATAGAAATATGATTCTCAATGAAGCCCAAGTCAACAAAGTTAGGACTAGGGGTACTTTCCAACTATCAAATTTACAGGGAAATTAAAAATGTTGCTCCATCCGTACAATTTGGGACATTGCTATATAAGTTAGTGAGATTGCAGATTCCTTGATTGCACATTCTAGCGGCTAGCATTGATCACAAACCCAAATGAGAATTTGTGATATTTCAGTTGGAAACTACAAACATGAATAAAAAATGGCTATAGTGCGTGAGACTGACTGTGCTTCATCACTTCATTGCATACTCTTCTTCTACGCACCTAAAAGTATGTACTTTATCATCACAAATAGAGTGCATACATAAATTAGGACACAAGTAAGCAAAAAGTCACTAGTGTTTTTAGTCACAAACAGTGTTGTTTTAACAAATTTGTTGAGTAATGATTCATGACTCACTCATAAAGACAGTCATTCAGACTTCACACAACAATGTAACCTAATATTAACTTAATTGGTAACAGCATGTAGTGTCATATCATTCTGATTTAATTTAAAGGGGCTGTTTTACACGATACCAAACAAACTACAGCTAGTTCAAAACGCTGCAGCTCGAGTTCTTACCAGAACCAGGAAGTATGACCATATTAGCCCGGTTCTGTCAACACTGCATTGGCTGCCTATTAAACATCGTATACATTTCAAAATATTGCTGATTATTACTTACAAAGCTCTAAATGGTTTAGCTCCGCAATGCTTGAGCGAGCTCTTAACGCATTATAGTCCTTCACGTCTATTGTGATCTCAAAGTTCCGGCCAGTTAATAATACCTAGAATATCAAAATCGACTGCTGGCGGTAGATCCTTTTCCTATTTAGCACCAAAACTTTGGAGCAGTCTTCCTACCATTGTCCGGGAAGCAGACACACTCTGTCAGGTCAAAGCTAGACTAAAAACACATCTCTTTGACCTAGCATTCACATAATACATTATCGACTTCTATAATTCAATGTTAGGCTGCATAGGTTAGGTCAGCCGGAACTGGGAACACTTCCCTTAAATCCTGATGTACTCGTTACATCATAAGAAGAATAGCATCTATGCTAATTTTAGTGTCTTTGTTTATCCCGAGGTTTTCCCGCTGCCTGCCGGATCCAGGCCGTTTTCAGATCTGACGAAGGACCTTCGCCTGGACCGATGACAACGCAGTGCTGAAGTGCCAACTAGCCTCTCCCTATGGAGAATCCCTTTTTCACTATACAGATAAAGCGTTGTGGAAATTAGGGTTCACGTACCAACCCAGAAGTGATCAAATAAAATAAAATTCTGTATCAAAATTTATAGGCAAGACAAGTAGTTTGTTTAGGCATGGTTTGTAGGGAATTACAAACCTGCGCACATATATTCAAACGCACATAACTATAGAACCAATTCTTAATGCGCATGTGAACGCTATCAGCGCTTATCACAGGTTCGCGTTTAAAGTCTGTTTAGAGAGAACGGTGTCATCTTAGCGGCACCTAATTTTAATAACAAATGATCATTTCACCGGAAGTGAATCAATCAAAACTAACTTTAGCTGGAAAATAACATTATTCAAGAACCGCTATAAAACCAAACCAATCTGTGTTACCTTAAATTATATTAAGTTTATCTCTGTAAAGCTGCTTTGAAACAATCTACATTGTTAAAAGCGCTATATAAATGAGGATGACTTGACTTGACCCTCACAACTACACAAATCTGCAAAACAGGTGTTGTCTCGAGCACACCTGATACAACTAATCAAGGGCTTCATTAGTTGCACCATGTTGCAAGCTTCAAAAACGCGAACCTGTGAAAACGCTGACGACGTGTACATGCATATCACGTGTTCAGTCTATAGGTATGCGCGTTTGAATATATATGTGCACAGGCGCATAGTCTTTCTTTACAAATTGACCTCACCAAATGACTTGTCTGGCCTTAAAAATTCATAAAACAGAATTTTTGTCACTTCCGCACATCCATGCGAACCGGAATAATTTTGACAACGTTTTATCTGTACAGAGGTAAAGGGAAGGGAAGGAGGAATTCACAGGGGAGAGACTAGTTGACACGTCAGGACTGCGTTGTCATCGTGTCCAGGCGTAGGTCCTTCATCAGATCTGGATATGGCCTGGATCTGGCGGACTGCGGTAAACCTCGGGATAAACAGAGACTAATATTAGAGTAGACGCCATTCTTCTTATGATGCAACGAGTACATCAGGATTTATGGGAAGTGTTCTTGGTTCCGGCTGACCTAATCTATGCAGCCTAACATTGAATTATAGAAGTTTATAATGTGTTATGTGTATGTTGGGTCAAAGAGATGTGTTTTTAGTCTAGATTGAAGCTGACAGAGTGTGTCTGCTTCCCGAACAATGTTAGGAAGACTGTTCCAAAGTTTAGGTGCTAAATAGGAAAAGGATCTATTGCCAGCATTTGATTTTGATATTCTAGGTATTATCAACTGGCCGGAATTTTGAGATTCCAATAGACGTGAAGGACTATAATGCGTTAAGAGCTTGCTCAAGTACTGGGGAGCTAAACCATTTAATGCTTTGTAAGTAATCAGCAATATTTAAAAATGTATACGATGTTTAATAGGGAGCCAATGCAGTTTTGACAGAACGGGGCTATATGGGACCATATGGTCATACTTCCTGGTTCTGGTTCAACACTCTGCCTACAGTCAAGCGTGGTGGTGACTCTGTGATGCTCTGGGGCTGCTTTGCATCCTCTGGCACTGGAAACCTGCAGCATGTGGAAGGCAAGATGGATTCATTTTTGTATATCAGGAAATCCTAGGAGAAAACGTTGTGCCGTCAGTGAGGAACCACCCAGGCTTGGTTGCAGAAGAAGTCCTGGAAGATTCTGGAAGACAGTGGCCAATGCTGGCCATCACAGTCATCTGATTTGAACCCCATAGAAAATCTCTGGTGGGATTTGAAGGAGGCGGTTGCAGCATGCAATCCTAAGAATATTACTGAACGACATATGCTCTCTAATGTAAATTAGAAAATAATATACTGATAATATGCAACCATTTTCTCTGGAAAGAGGTTTGGTAAAGTGATACCAAAAAGCCTTGAACATGAAGATCTGTGGGATGCTGATCTCCTGGAACACCAAAGGGTCCTAAAATCTGGAACACACAGATGAGGCCCTGAAATTAGGTCCTTAACAATCTGGAACTCTCAAACAAAGGAAACTTGAAGTAAAGATTTGCTCTCCTGAGCTTAACTTTGTTGCAAATGTCTGTTTGTCTTCTGCCTCTCTGAGACCCAGAACGTGGTTGATCTGTTACAGTCTCACCCTTGCAGGCTGGGAGAATGTAATTAATGTGTCTTAACTTTCACCTGAAAACTGTTATTAGTAGTAGTAGTAGTGGTGTTATCGAGTTTACATATGCTGCTTCCTTTTTTCAGGTTTTTGGCAGAGTTTCATGAGGACTTCTTTCCAGAGTCTGCATATGTGTCTGCAACTGAAGCCCATTACAGCATGAAGCAACCACGCTCAGTCTTCTAAAAATCCCTTGGGGAGAGAGTTTCTTCTGTACTGTGCTCCCCTGAACTTCTGGTACTCCCTAATACTGAATGTTGAGCTTTTTTTCTTTCTACTTGTAAATCCTAACAATTTCCCTGGAGTGTTTCCTCTGATCCATTTTTACATGTTCAGTTGATTTATGGCAAAGCTTTCTTGACAATCTTTTTTTTTATTTTTTTTTATAAAGCATTTTGAATTCAGTCTCACAAAAATGATGAAACATTTTCTTGTTTCATAGATTTTAATGCTATATGAAGCCACCAGTACCTCTTGTGCTCTTGATTTTTTTCCATCTAAAACTGAACAATTGACTATTTTGCTTTTGTCTTCCTTATTTTGCTGCAGTTGTCTTCTATCTTGTGCTTTACCTCTCCTCCCTCTGAATGTGCTTAAACCGGCAACTAAACAAAAGCAGCATAAGATGTTTATTACATTTCTCCATTTTTGCCACACAGAATTGTTGTAGTAACTTTGTTATAAATTATATATAATTCTTTGAATTATGAATTTGAATGACAACAATGCAATTATCAGTGATCACACTCAAAATGATATGATATTTTCTTTATGTAAATTAATCTGTATAAAGTTCTTCTTATTAAAAAGTTTTCATCTCTTTTGTGTAAAAATAGGATAAGACTGGGTTTAAACAATATAGAGGGTTTTTTCACCCCCATTTATTATGATTAAGTTATTATAGTCTCATTATTCCCATTTTTTCCTCTTTCTGTGTATTTGTTTTCCATGGTGTCATAGATTATCTGTCAATGTCACTTGGTGGTGCTTAATTTCTCAGTTTATTAACCAATACATTATTCAAACTTTTGTTTACAGTGTTTAAAAGACCTCTAAACTAGTCACTGTTGTAAGAAAAATACTGCTTTGTTGCTTACTTCACTGGCATTCATTTCAAACCTTGAAAATCTCACAGGTAAACTATTTGTATAATCACTAGTGTCTGTAAATATTACGTACAAAACTCTCTTAAGAGAATGGAAAAGCGTAGCTCCAAACACTAGTCCAAACCAGATGAATGAACAAACTCGTTGCAGAGAGTAGATCAAGGTATCCAAGGTAACTCAAAATTCAAAAAGGACAAAATAAGCACATGAAAAATAGGCCAAAAAACTCGAGTTTATTGTCCAGAGGCCACAAATAAAGTGCAAAAGGTGCAAGGTGAGCAAAACGTTTTCGAGTTCAACCCTTCATCAGTGGGATGTTTTTCCAAGCATACCCAGAGGAAAAATGTATTGCTCAGTGGTTGCTTTTCCTAAGCTCAGGAGACTTAGTTGTGATTCTCATGTATTTTTCATTTTAGTATCAACAACATTTCAGATGTTTCTCCTAAAATTCCTTAGGAGAAATACAAATAGACACAAATGATACAGACACATGCAAGAAATATTTGAGAGAAAAAGAGTCAAAACTGAGATTGTGGTAGAAGAAACATTGAACAACTTTTTATTGTCTTGCCATATTTTGTTGCTCAGAGGTTGCTCTTTTTAACCTTTTAAAAATGTTTTAGTGTTTATCAGAGGGCAAGACCCTAGGACTTTTGTCGCACTTGAACCACGAATACACACAAAAAGAAAAGGAATGGATTAGACTAGAGTTTTGTGGTTGAAATTTAAAAAATATAAGGCCATCTAGTGGCTAGAGTCATGAAATATCATGTTATATTATTTTTTCTCCACAAGAGGTCGGCAAAGATGTCGGCAATGTAAGATATTTTGAGCTGAATTAAAAGGGTTTGCATGAAAATGTGTTATTTTGAATTTAAGTTAGAATGTGAGGAATGTGCTTAAAGTACCATTTATTTATTATTTATTAATCAAATCTAGTAATTTAAAGGTAATTAAAATAAAAAATAACAAAAAATCTCCAAAAAGGACTGCATTATAAAATAGAAAAAATGTTATCTAAATTAAATTAAATAAGCTTTCTGGACAGAAAAAAAAGTATAATTTAAGGGGAAATATGTGTTACAAAACGTGAGGGAAGGACAAGGGTTAAGCTCAGGAAACTTAGTTGTATTTCTCAATATATTTCTCATTTTAGTATCAACAGCGTCTCAAATGTTTCTCCTAAAATTGCTTAGGAGAAATAAAAGTAGACACAAATGAGACACGAGAAATATTTGAGAGACAAGAAGTTAAAACTGAGAATGTGGTAGAAGAAACATACAACATCTCTTTATAGTCTTACTGTCGTCTCTTTCAAGACTCTTTCAAGAATATTTTATTGCTCAGAGGTTGAAAGAATTAAATAAATAAGAATATTCCTAATATTGTAAATACTGAAACTATAATTTAAAAACCATTATACATTTCAGAATATTAAGGGTTACTAGTTTGATTTTTTCTTCAATGCCCAATATGCAGCACATTTTCTAAACACACTAGAAAATATATTTGTCTCCTTTTGCTAGAGAAACTAGATCACTCCAGTTGTCTCCTTTAAAGACTCAGAAGAAACCTCAACAACATCATATACTGTGCTCATAGTTTTCACCTTACCTAGAGACTCTAGTGGTCTTACATTTGTCACAATGGTAGAAATGTTTGAGTTCATGATGAGACATTTTATTTGTAAAGTTGTTGAGATCTTCACCCTTTTCTGAATCTATAATGTGTAAGGGATAATGTACATCCAGCCGGTTGTTATCTCAGAATAAACCCCCGAACAGGGGGACGCACACCGGCTGGATGTACATTATCCCGCTTATTACACAGCTACTTGCCACATTAGTAAATAATTAGTCACGAAATATTGAAATATTTTATTAGGTCTTTAAACGCAAAGCTTCCGCGGAGAGAGCAGTTGCTAGCGCGGCAAGTTCAAACTAGACGCCGGACATTTAAGAGATACTGTACACAGTTATACCACACAGTATTTCGCCACATAAATAATTATGGAGATAAGAGGTATTGATTTCAGATTAAACTGTTTTAAAATTATACCTGTTTGTATCTTGTAGTCCAACAGTGCACAAAACAATAGTCACAAAATGGCAGCATCTGCGTTTGTGTGAAACAAGAGAGAGCGAGTCCACGATATTGGATGTCATAATTAAAACAATCAAATCAATATTTCGTGTACAGAGTTTTAATATTTTATTAGCTCACCAAATGCAAAACTTCCACAAAGAAAAAACGTTCCTAACAAGCGCTGCTGACTTCAGTAACCCAGATGAGCCTGTGTTTTCTGTTTTCAGCGGTTGTTATCTGGGATTATTACACGGCTCTGTGGAATACTTGATTCTGATTGATCCATCTCGCCATCCAGCTCAAATCAGAGCCTTAATTGTCCATGTCACAAATGATAGTCTTTGCTTGAGAGAAGCTGGACAGAGAGTTCAGCCCAAAATAAACATTGTGCCACAGTCAATGTCCCTGGACAGCAAGTGCTGCAATCCACTGGTGTTGTGGCACACAACGCTGTGTTGGGGCGGCACAACATAGAAAGGATCCTAATTTTTTTAAACTCCCTCAATGAAATTCACTTTTTGCAGGGTGATCAAGAGCAAATCGAGCGAAATTGTGTAGTTGTGTGGGACAATGTCCAATTTCACCATTCAGCACTGGTGCAAGAGTGGTTTGAGTATCACCCTCATTTCAGGATGGTGTAAGTCTTCTTCAAGCGATGGAAGAGGAAAAGTTGAGGCACAAGGATGAATCCAGCATTCACTGCTTTTTTTCCCCCCACGATGCATGACTCTCAAAGAAAATCTTTGAACAGATGTAAGTGAAAGGTAAAATCTATAAAGTTCATTGATTCAATGATTGCAGTACATGTATTTATTTATTTAAAACTCATCGTTATACAACTAACTCGTCATTAAAGAACTTTGAAGAACAAGAATAAAGAACACGAAAAACATGTATTTTCATTCATGTATTTGTGTATCTATAGCTGAACACACGTATAGTTTTGATGTTCATTTTTGATAAATGCATGACTTGTTAAAAGGCACACTGCATTTTATTCTAGTAAAGTTTGGTAATGTAACGAGCCGCACCAACTTGGTCCATGCAATCCTCAATCTGAGGTAATGGGAAGGAGTCTGGCTTGGTAAGACTTAACTTTGCGATAGTCTGTACAGAATCAATACGTAGCATCAGACTTCGGTACCAGCAGACAGGGTGAGCTCCAGGGGCTTTGACTGGGCTGAGCAAAATCATGTTGCAATAAATACTGCACCTCCACTTTCATTAACTCACGCTTTTGGTGGTTAACCCGATAAGGGTGTTGTTTGACAGGTGGGGAGTTTTCGACATCAATGTCATGACAAATGACCGTAGTTTGGCTGGGAACATCTGAAAACAGCATAGTAGTTTTATAAAAACAGTTTTATATCTATTAATTAGACTTATCACATCCTCACGTTGACATGTAGAGAGGTGAGCAAGATGAGTCTCTAAACTATTTAGAATAGCTGAGTTCTTAAGACGTTCACAGGACTAGTTGGCACTACTCACACCTAAACCATCCTGTGTAGTCAAGTCAAGTCACCTTTATTTATATAGCTCTTTTTACAATGCAGATTGTATCAAAGCAGCTTCACAGTGATAACATAAAAATTAATACAACAAAGTTTGTTTCTAGAAGAAAATTGCGTCATCGTCCACCTTAAGTAAGGCAGATCAATAATATAGTTGAATATTAAATGTCCCCAACTAAGCAAGCCAAAAGCCAAGGCAACAGTGGCAAGGAACCAAAACTCCATCAGGTGACAAAATGGAGAAAAAAACCTTGGGAGAACCCAGGCTTAGTCGGGGGGCCAGTTCTCCTCTGGCCAATTAGCAAACAGTGTATGATTATTGGATCAGTCAGATTGGATCAGAACATTCAGAAAATTAATCCAGTTCCATCTGGTTGGAAGTCGGAGTCATCACGCCGGTATGGAGACAAGTTTGTTGAGGATCAGTGCCGATGGCTGTCGTGTTGATGAGGCCTTCACAGGGCTGATGAGGCTGGCACTTCAGGGATGCGTCATGGATGGGTCCAGGTGCAGGTCCACCATCTGCGGTAAACCTTGGATAAACAGAGAGACTAATATTAGCATAGACGCCATCCTTATGATGTAACAAGTACATCAGGATTTGTGGGGAGTGTTCCCGGTTCCGGCTGATCTAAACTATGCAGCCTAAATTGAATTATAAAAGTCTATAATGTGTTATGTGTATGCTAGGCCAAAGAGATGTGTTTTTAGTCTAGATTTGAACTGAGAGAGTGTGTTTGCTTCCCGGACAATGTTAGGAAGATTGTTCCAAAGTTTTGGTGCTAAATAGGTGTAACAGTTTAAATGTTACCTGAGTTTTTTATAGTTTATTTTCTGACTATTGCCTGGGAAATTACCTGGGTCAAGTGGTAGTACCACTAAAACCCGTTTGGGGGCACTAGTGAGTGGGGCCTGCTAGATATAAGCCTGGTAAGCAATGAAGAAGTCAGTTCAGTTTGGTAGAGGGAAACCGCATGGTTCATCTAAATGCTATCTGCTGATACATTTGAAGTCCTGGTTTGAGAACTCAGGGAGTTTAAGCTCAAACGTGAGTATGTTCTAAATGTGTCTTCTAATCAAAAATGTTGGTGTTATTGTCATGAATAAGTCTTATG